GGTTTTTAGTGTTAAGTCTACCGTAAATGAAAAGATATAATTGTAAACTCACCGGCCTTATAATATGGGAGGAAGTTTTGGTAGAATGTAAAAAACCCGGTATCTGGTATCATCTTGATAACATACGTATATACGTATAGAGGTCTGATCCAATAGTACGATATATGAATATCTGCCATCAATAGAAATCGAACAGATTTACATTTTAACAAAAATCAACACCTCAACTTTCATGGCTTGTATCTCTGAAAATTTTGAATTTAATCTGATGGCTTAATATTCAAAAGGAGACCTAGGATCTAGCTCTCTTTTGATTATTGAATCATTAAAATAGCTTCAAAATTCATTGAGATGTAAGTTATAAAATTTGAGGTATCACTTTTTTTAAAAATTTTGATTCTATTTAATTAACCAATTAATACATTATACTAAGTTGTATTTTGATTGATTATTGTGACAGCCTATGTTGAGATTGGCTTATGCTGAGAATTTGACCTATTTGATTATAAAATTATAAAATTTTTTTATAGTCTTTTTTTTCATAGTTAGGTTAAGATTTAATATTAGTATTATTAATAAGAGTATATGTGAATTTTAGATCTCAATATAAGTCACGTATAAAAACATTTTTGCTTGTATCTTGAGGACTACTGGTCGATTTACCATAATGCCATAATTTACGTTAAATCAGTGCTGCATTGTCTAAAATAAGGCTTTGAAAGTAATGCCATATGGAGTGTCTTCAGTCGAAACTTGCCTTAGTGAGGTCCGACAAAGTGTTACACGAAACGTAGAACTCAGGTCATGCCTAATTGTAATTGTAACATATTATTTATAACAGTGTATTACATATTAGTGTCAATTTACATATATTAATAATTAATAAAAGTGATGACATCCATGTTACAATTGGTATGACCTGAGTAGAACTCTGCATATGCCCACGCCGGGCACTAATGCCTATGCCATGCCCGTGCCATAGGCAAAAAAGTGCCAGCCTAAAAATGTCAGGCACTTTAGTGTGTCATGCCTAAGAAAGTGCCAGGCACTTTGGTGCCATGCCTAGTGTTACAAATCGTCAATCGATTAGTTGGTTGCAGCTAATCGATTAGTTGAATTCATTAAGTAAATAAATGAGTTTCTTTACAACTAATCAATTAGTTCTTTAGTCGATTAGTCACAACTAATCGATTAGTTGATAAATCGATTAGTTGATAAATCGATTAATCGGTTTTAAAAGGTTCAGTCGATTAGCTGTCAACTAACCAACTAATCGATTAATTTCGATTTCGATTTGTATCACTAGCCATGCCTAAGAAAGTGCCCAGAACTTTAAGTCTGGCTACGTGTCTAGTAATTTTAAGCCAAAAACGAAATCAGGCTATAGGCAGTGTTGTCATGGGACACGGACACGGACAGCGGGCAGTTCTGGACGTCCATCCCGGACATGTCCAATATTTTTTTGCCCCGGAAACTTAAAATCATAAATAAGAACGGCCGTGTTAGCCAATCAGGTTGTTCGATAAACCATATGACATGGGACAACCATCACGGATATCCGGAACATGGAACACAGTCCGGGACTGTCCGTGTCCACACAATTTTGACGGGACAACGCGTACGTACAACACTGCCTATAGGCACAAAGTACCTATAGGTACAAAAATGCCAGACATTTTTATGGCAAAAAAAAAAAAATGCCTGTGCCCATGCCCGTGCCCTAGACCTGAGTTATTATCATTCTGTGTAACAATTTGTCGATCCTCACTAAGGCACGTTTTGACCGAAGACATTCCATATAGTCGGTATTGGCAATTTTTAGTGGCCAACCAATTTTTTGGCCTTTGGCCGGCCAAACTTTGACCAAAGTTTCTAACCTTTATAATATTACAGCTGTTATAATTATTCCTGGGACACCTTATGAAAAATTAACCGAATGGTTGGTTATTCTGCCGATTCGATAAATTATTGATTTCGGCATGATCAATGTAATGTTTATTATTTGCGAAGATAGTCTAAAGTTTGGTACGTACGAAGGTGCTAAACGATTTATAAATTAAAACTCACGTGAAACTACAAGGTTTCAAATGATCTTTACTTTCACGTCCTACCTAAAGTTCCATTTCTAATCGTAACTCATACAATATCAGTTAGGCTTTTCTTCTATTAAAGTCTTAAGATATTATATATCATTCAGGTTTAATAGACGTGATTTCTTACAAATGACAGAAGTTAGCAAATGAGTGGCGCATTTTGAAATTAAATGAGAGTTTGAAAAATCTTAAATGTATTTCAAAAATTTTAAAGTCGGAAAATGATAAATAGACTTGTCAACGACAAAAATTATCATTTCAAATTTATTGGGAAATTAAATAGAGTTTATACATCGGTTACTTGTAAATGAATACGTCATCTATTTTTGTCAAAAATAGATTCCCGCACGTTAACTTTGAAACTCTCTATCGCTATACTTATGTACAATAATAAACGTTACATTGATCATGCCGAAATCAATAACTTATTGAAGAATAACTCAGGAATAATGATAACAGCTGTAACCAATCACATTACTAACTTTGCTATACAAAATATCGGCCAAATACCGTACAGCGTGGACTAAAAGACCCCCTTTTTATAATACCCCTCACGATTTTTGAAGGCCTAGAATGTAAAGTACCCTGGGTACTAAGGACGGATTAATTGCACTTGTGAATGTAAAATACCCGGGTACTAAAGATGGATTAATTTCACTTAGTATATAAAATATTACTGCAGCACCTATATAGTGTAACTTATACCCCTTATGCTGACCATAGTATCCCTCCGACTATAATACCCATATATACAGCTTAAATTATGAAGTACCCTGGGTATTTTAGTCCACGCTGTACGGTAATTTTCTTGCCCTTTTGGCCATTGGCCGGCCAAGTGACAACACTGCATATAGTAGTATTCTTGCATTTTTAAGATCCCATGTATTCAGTACCTTCCTAGAATTAGAACTTGGATCCGGATAAGTCTTTTGTAGAGATGTTAATCTGTCCTTTGGGACTGAGCCCTGACCGGAATCTGTAAGGATTCAGTCCTTAAGTCACATGCAAATATAATACATTTATATAGAAGGATCAATTCAGGATCTAAATCCTACATAAATATATTATGTTTCATGTGATTTAAGGCTTTAGGACCGGACTCGTTAACCAAGTTTACGCTATTAGAATATAGGGATGTTAAGTTGTTCTTTCAGTTCAGTTCAGGTTCAGTTTCAAGAAGTTCAAAGAAAAAACGAACTAAAGTTCATAAACTTTAGCTTTAAAATTTGAACTTGAATTTTAACTTGAGTTCATAAACTTAAAGCATAAACTCAAGTTTGCTTTGAAGATCAAATTTGAATTCATGGACCTAAAGTTTATTGAATAATAGAAGATTCTATATACATATCTGCATAACTCATAATATAAGCAAAGGAAGTATATGTATAAAGTATATATGTATATAGGTATAAGGCTTATGATAATTATCACAGATTCTATTTTAAACAAGTTCATGAACTGGGTTTATAAACCAAGTTTATGAACTAGATTATGAAACTAGTTCAAGAACTTCTAGTTAATTTTTTTTGAAAATACTAGTTTGAACCGGTTTCAAACCCCGTTCATCTGAACTACTTAGAATACAACCCGTTTGTATTATTATAAATTTCTTCTGTTATCCGTTAATTGCAAAAAGCTTATCTGGATCCAAGCCTTAGAATAGTACTCCTAGATTAAGATCTAGGACACAATGATCACAGCATAGTTTTTCCTGCAAATACAGTATAACCTCGATATAAAGAAGCCTTGGAGCTGAAGGTTTTGCTTCGTTGTATCTATATTACGATATATCAGGCTCCCCGATACGTATAATGAATTTAAATATAATTTTATAAAATATCCAGTTTGCAAGTAATATCCCTCGATTTAAACAATTTATATATAATTTTATAAAAAATTTATATCTAAAGTTTTATATAAAATTTCAGTATACTATATTTCGATTTATTAAGGCATTTGTTATATCAAGGTAATTTTCTTATATATAAATTGTAAATTGCTGTATACCAAGGTTTATTCATTATATTAAGGTAATTTAAACTAAAAAATTCTAGCTGGAAAAAATATAATACTTTTGGTTTGTCGAGGTTGGTTATATCGAGGTTATACCGTATATTACTTTAATATAACTTTAATATAACGCCTTTATTAATTTGATATATATGGGGTTTTTGCCTTGAAAATAAGTTAAGACATATAATTTACTATGTCTCATAACTTGATTTTCAAAGCAAAGACCTTATATTTATGTTTTTTTTTTCATTAAAAAACTGAACCAAATCTACCAGATGTTGTCATTCAAAAATGACCAAGAATTATGAAGTAATACCTGTTATCCCTTCACTGGACCGCAGCGCTCTACGGTAAATTAAACAAAAATTTTTCTTATTTATATTTTTAAACTAGATCTACAAATTACTACTGAATTTTATTAACAAATTTTAACTTTTTATTAATAAAAATTAAATATATATGCATGATTAATAAGTCTTTATGTAAAAAATCGGCCGCTTTTTTTAAAAAAGGTTATGAGATCCACAGTATCGTATGTTCTTTTTAAAACAATTGTTATTTCGAGCATCTTCTGATTCTGCAAATTTTGATCAAAAGTGAACCAATAGGAATATATCAATTAACAATTGATCCCATAAAATTTCTGCACCGAATTTTGCAATACGGATAGGCACTGTTACGTTAATTACGACTATTGTACTAACCCTACATGGCGTAAATATCAGCCCGTGTGAAGTCACTTGTGTGCATAAAAGAACTATTAAAGAAATGTGTGTAACACTATACTGAAACAATTCTTATATAAATTTCAAAAAAAAAAATTCATTACATTTAAAAAAACAAAAAATACTGACTATATAATTTATGTAAATAAATACACTAAATACTTTAAATATGAATACATCTAGTACATCTAATTCATCTGACTCATCTAAATCACCTATTGAATGTTTGATGAAATGCATACAATCATTTCAACAAGTGTTAATGTCTCCTCTAAAACGTAGTCCTAAATTAGAAGAAACTATTGTTTACGCAACGCCATGTCCCGCATGCGATGAATGTTATGAATATCATTATAATTCACGTAACCCATCATTTTACTGTCAACCTTGTAATACAAAGCGATTTCGTTTAGAATTCGATAAATGGTCTACTGGAAATAATAAACTTGATCGATTAATTCAAAATTCACATATTAAATCAAAGAATGTTTTTGAATTATTGGAATGGATTCCTTATTCAAATTTAAAGGATATTACACGAATAGCTCAAGGAGGTTTCGCTACAGATTTTTCTGCTGTTTGGGCTGATGGACCCATGCAAAAATTTGATCTTAATAAAAAACAATGGTCTCGATCTGGTGTTACTAAGGTTGTTTTTAAAGAATTTCACAATTCGAAAGATTCAAGTTTTAAGTTCCTTGAAGAGGTAATTCATTTAAATAGTGGTTTATAATAATAATAATAATAATAATAATAATAATAGTCTAATCAGTTAAATCTAATATTAAATTAGGTTCAAGCATATCTTAGAGTTGGTGGTAATAAACCAATTACAAGAATCTATGGAATTTCTCAGGATCCGAAATCAAAAAATTTTGGGATAGTTATGAAATGTGCAAATCTTGGAAGTTTAAGACATGTTTTGAATGAAAATTTTCATGAAAAGAGTTGGAATGATAGATTTGATATTATATTAGAAATTTCATCTTGTATTTCTAAACTTCATGACGTAAAGATAATTCACAAAAATCTTCACAGTGGCAATATTTTACTTGATCTACTCGGTATGACAATTAGTGATTTAGGATTATGTAAACCCATGGATAATGAAAATTCAAAGGATATTTATGGTGTAATTCCTTATGTTGCGCCTGAAGTCTTTTCCGAGGCATCTTATTCACTTGCATCTGATGTTTACAGTTTTGGAATCATCGCTTCAGAAGTGGTTGCTGGTAATCCGCCATTTTATAATAAAGCTCATGATCAGGGATTAGTATTTGACATATTTATGGGACAACGACCACAACTTCCAAAGGAGACACCTCAGCAAATAAAAAAATTATTAAGTAAATGCTTGGATGCAAATCCCGAAGGGCGTCCGACTATGCAACAAATACATAAAAAGTTGGATGGTTGGAAGTCTAAAATTCGGAATAATCCTTCTTCAAAGATTTACAAAGAATTTCAACTGGCCAATGAAGACTGGAAAAAGAATTCTAGTTCAAAAAAATTGGATTTAATTATTCATGAAAAAGCTGTTTACAAGAGTCAAATTTTAAAATTTAAGAGTCTTCCAAAAAAACCCATAAATGCTACAAATGGCATGGTTAAAATTTCTCCAATAAATAGGGTGCGGTTGAATGGTATTTATTTATTTTATTTTTTTTTTGAGCAAAAGATCCATTTTTGGTGTATGCCTGATGTGTGCCGACACATTTTTAATATCATTTACAAATTTAATTTTATAGATGTAATGAGGACACCTATAATTGAAGTACCAGAAGGTTCGTCATCATAGTTTATTATTTATTATTTAATATGATTTAACCAACTGATTAATCTCACTCTTAGATTAATCTATGTACGAATTTTCAAGATCACTTGGATGATTCAACACGGATCCACATCCTTTTATTTGTATACATTATATTCTTGTGTTTTTTATTAATGATACTTAATCAGTTTATAATTACGTCAAAGTTTATAATTCTTGATTGTATAAATTTTATAGTGATATGGCATAAACATATATGTAAATCATTAAAATTTAACAATTAAGATTTTTGGACACTTCTCACCCACGCATATAAGAAACGTCATAAAAGAATTCATACGTGAATCTAAACATTTATAATAACATGAAGAATTATCGTTATATCTTATGTATTTAAATCTTATTGATATCAAAATTTGTTACTTTTTATCAAAACTATATTCAAAATTGGGTTCAAATGTAATGTAGTAAACTTAGCGCTTTATGTATTTTTATTATTTAAATCATACATTTATAAAAAAAATATATAAAATATAAAATTATACTTCTTTGTTATAACCAAATCTACTAAGATTGAAGAAATTAAAAATTCCGCTACCGATATTAAACTCTCCGTCATCCATTAAAAAAATTACATAGTTATTATAACTACTATATTTCATTTATAGGTTCTGTGCATCAGCCAATCAGATTTTGAGATCAGATGCAACGTGAAATCAAAACAATAAAAAACGCGTAATCTTTTTTTTCTCCCATCTATTTCTTTCTTTCTACATAAAAACGTAAGGCTTACGAAATATTTTTACTGTTTTACAATCTATAAAGATGATTTCGATATACCTCAAGAAATACATGACATTGCCAATAATTTTTGAATGACAATGTAAATATAATAAGGATAATAACTTTAGATAGGTAAAAAAAATTTTTAAACAAATGTATAAATAAAAAGGTTTCGTTTTTGTTTATACAGCAGCGGTAGCATAAAGATTTACAAGTATACATATAATATATTTATTTATTTAGTTAATACAGGCTAACTCTAAACATTCTTGACAGCAGCTTGCTATTACACTTATAGTTGGTGGTAGAATTACTGAATTATAGCATTTTACTGATATGGTAAAATTAATTTTGTTATAGTATCTGATTGTTATAATACCGTAATGTGCCACCCATGCAATAAACCTAGCATATTTATATATCATATGATCTTTTACGGAATGACTTCATGCAGAAGAATCTTCATTTTGCGTGAGATAATAACATTATATGATTAATTCGCGAGAAGACAATATCAACCTCACGCATGTGGCACATCTCTAATGTAATGCTGCAATATTATAATCTTTAATACCGTAATGTTTTAATACTAATTTCGTCGTTCAGTTCTAACTAATGATTAGGTATGACAAGCAGTGTAATATCAATTATTTGGTATTTGCCGGTATTTGGCATTTTTAAGATTTTACACGCATGGATTCACATGTTGATACGGGTTATTTTAAATCCGTACCGGATTTAATATATATCCGAATTAACGTGTGAACTCACGGGTATAATGCGAACTATTTAAAGGAATCCAAAAATTGCTGCTCTTCAACAAATGTTCCAAACTTTGCAAAAACAATACTTAGCTCCATAGTTCTGTATAATATTTACCAAGTTATGAATTGTTTTTTTTTCAAAATTTCAAGAATTTGTTGAGTCGTAACGGTTTCTGAACAATACTATAACAAGATTACGGGCATTTAGTAAAAATACCTGATTCGTATGTATACAAGCGGAAACGAAGTTTTTAGGGATGTTAAGTAGTTTAGTTAGCAGTTCAGTTCAGTTTTAAAAAATTTTAAGAGAAGACAATTAAAGTTTATAAACTTTATTAAACAAGTTTATAAACTAGGTTTATAAACCAAGTTTATGAATTAGATTATAAAACTAGTTTAAGAACTTTTAGTTAATCTTTTTTTAAATGAACTACAAAAATACTAGATTGAATTAGGTTCAACCCCAAATTCATTTAAACTATTTAACATTTCTAAAAGTTTTTGCTAATATTTAATGGCTCATGATATTTTTGTTACAGAACATAACAAAATTCTTTAGAGTGGCGGGTAATGATGATTGGACCATGTAGGCATATAAACAAGTCTGAAGCGTATTGAAAAAAATTTGAACTAGGTCTTATAATTTATTCTGTGGTGTATATTATGATATCATATTATTAGTGTGAATTTTTTTTAATAATTCGCATTATATAAAATCTTAAAATTTTAAACATTGGTCAACAGTTTGAACGCAAAATCCAATAATGTAGTGTAAGTTTATTTGGTTGAGGATTTAAGATCAGACTAAGAAATTGAATTTCGAAGGAATTCAATTGTTTAGGCTGACCTTAAAATCCTTGGCCAAATAATTAAGTTATAAGGCAGTATTAGCATGCCAGTTCTTTTGATGATGATTGCATTATCATCAAATAACTTCGTTATTTAATCATCAAAATAACTCGAGTCATTCTGTTGGTAAGGTGTAAAGATGTGCCTCGCGCGAGATAAACCTAGCATACAATTATATATACAGTTTTATAATACTTTTTTAAAAGAACAATTAACCATAATAAAGTATATATATATATATATATATATATATAAGGTTTCATTAAAGCTGTCAGACTTCATAGTCAAAAATAAGATCTAAGCTGATTTTATCAGGTTTTGAGAAGTTATTACTATATATACGTATTAACTTTTTTAAACAGACGAGAATCGGGTTTTATTTTTGGCTATTGAGTCCTATAGCTCTAATGAAACCTTTTATACAGCCTTTTTTATTTCATTATAATTAGTTATTATTTCTCAAAAAATACTCTAAACTGTATAAATAAAGTAAAATTAAATTAAATTTATTAGCCAATCAGACAAACTTCTGCCTATGAAGCTAATTATCATAGGCAGAAATTTGTCTGATTGGCTAATAAATTCAATTTAATTTTACATTATTTATACAGTTTAGAGTACTTTTTTCAAAAAAAAACGAAAACCAACCATCATTATACATGCTGGACAAATCCGGACAAATCCCAAACCCCCCAAAAATAAATAGCATTTATAAAAAATTGAATCAAAAAAATAATCTTTAAATTTCACAGATATATTATATATAACTATAAGAATATATACTGTTTATTTAATGAATATTAGTAATAAAGCCTGGTTGAACCCATAAGGGTTTTCCCGAAGTCAAACTTTGGCAAGTTTGAAATCGGTGCCTTAGGATGCACATATGTGCGCCAATAGAGATCCGATTACGGGATTCTTTAAGGCTATCAGTTAATTCTGATATTCCTACTCTACTAGGTTTGGATGGTAGAGTCATCGATGTTAGCTTACTAAGATTTTTACCCCAGTATGTCATCTGATAAGTGATAACGAGAGGGGAGTCTATCCGGGTTGACGACCGGTTTTACTCTTAGTAAACCTACGTGACTTGAAGCATGTGCAGTTAATCCAAAACACACCATATAGGTGCTTGTGCTACGTCGCTGTTTTATATTAACAGTGTTAGATTGTTTACCAATTGTTATACTGTTAATCAATTGGTAGTGTAATAGATTTTACACGAATGGCTTGAAGCATGTGCCGGGATTAAATAATCTGAAACACACCATTAGTTGCTTGGGCTACGTTACTATTAATTGTTTTTGCAATATAACAGAAAGTTGATACCTCAGGTCATGTGGAACTCATTGATAGAATACACCTATTTATGAGAAAGTTGAAGGAGTAATCCTGATGACATATTGTAATTTTTATTACTTTATGGACTCATAAGATAGGAGAGGGAACCATGACTAGGAAACGAAGCTTTGACTGATAAATGCATTAACATTAACTGTATCAGATTGTTTACCAATTGTTATACTGTTAATCAATTGGTAGTGTAGGGCGACTTAACCCTAGATGCATATACTTGGGGAGGTTAAAGAAGATTTTATCGCGTACTTCTAGGGCCGAACACCAAATTACCCAATATGTGTCTAGAGAACAGGTCAAACTATATGACTGATCGAAGTTATTCGACACACTTAGTTGAAAAAGGTATACTATGCGAAAGTATAAACCCTAATCCTGATCGAAGGAGAAAAATTTCGACACAATAGGTTGATGAATTAATACCTACCGAAAGGAAAATATCTGAAGCAATTTTATGAACTTTTAATATCGGAAAGACGATGCTAAAAAGTTCTAGCATTTCGAAAGAATGTGTGGCTTAACGAAATGAGCCATAGGTGTAAGCCCTTAAATCATAGTAGAATGATTACGTTGTTATTTTAATATTTTTTAAATTAGCTTTTCTTAAACCTAATAAATATTGACGTTCAATGGAATCTATGCAGTTACGGATGATCGTCTGGTCCTAAAAACGGGAACCCAGGGGAAACTCAGTTAGGGAGATCGGTTCATACCTGGCAGCGCTATACCAATGCGCGTCAATGGTTTTTCGTGTGAACTTGGGTTAAATAAAAGTGACTCCAGTAACCCTTCCTCTATTGCATATGATGTTCATTGCGATATTCTCTGAAAATATCGGAAAAGTGTGTTTACCGTTTATTACTAGTTAAGAGAGGTTAATACTAAATTTTTTAATAACATCAGATTGTTTACCAATTGTTATACAGTTAGGGAAGGGACAGAAATCAGGTGATTTTTTAGGGGGGTGGGGTTTGTAATTCGATCAGGTCAAATATTGTTATAATTAAATTTAGTTTGCTAAGATTTCAATCAGGTGGGGGTAGGAGGTATAGCCTCTTAGTAAACAGAAATCACCTGATTTCTGTCCCTCCCCTTAATCAATTGGTGCCTGACGTCCCTTAATTCAGGATGTCTGTAAGAGGCAAACAACAATGTGGTTAATTGTTAATTGCATATGTAGTTGTCACTGTCCTGGACGATTAATGAATTATTAGACAGGAAAGCAGTAATAGAGTCCACTGCACCTTCAGGTGGGGTTAGTTGGCCCCGAGAGCACCAACTCAGATAGGAACTATGAGACAAAACTCACGCTCTACAAAAGTGTTCCATCCACAAGTAACCAAAGAGCAACAAAGTGACAGTACGGAGCAAGCTGGAAAGACAGCAATGCCTACGGATCGATGAAATTCGACACACTAAGTTGATGGTAATACTCACTGAAAGAACAAACCGGACAACTTGAGAGACAGTGAGATTTTTAGCCATGTTATGTGTACTTAACATGACCATAATGTTAGGATCTTATGATATGATCGAATATCCGCCAAGTCGATACAATGAGTTGATGAAGTAATACTCACTGAAAGGAGAATCTCTACTTTCTTATGGACTTTCATCGGAAGATAGAAAGTTCTAGGTAGTGAAAGCTACTCTGGCTTAGTGAAAAGCCATAGGTGTAAAGTCTTAAATATTCACTCCCACTTACTAATCAGTCTCTGGGTTCCCAATAGAGAGGGACAGATCCTACTTTTGTAGGCAGGTTGGAATATACCCATACGAGAGTTTTCCATCCGTAAGTAAACAATGGGATGACGATTAGCAGTGAGCTCCTCTAATTTCAAAAAGTAGCTTTGCTAAACATTGCCTGACTAAGCGCTCTGTTTAGTACTTTGCATCGAAGTGATGTAAAGCGAAAAAGACGATGAATAGGTGCCTTCATTGTGGATCATATGTGGTGCATTTACTAGGTCTATTTGTCAGTTCTCTATATTCTAGGTTTCTAGGAATAGGGTAAACTGATAAATAAGGATAATTCTAGGTCCAGCTAGGGTCCGAGGTGGAAGGTTTGGTGGTTGCATAGTTCATAATGAGTGTTCCCAACAAACTGGATCTACCTAGTGCTGTATAGTTCATGAACTGAGACCATTTCTAGCGTAATGAGATAAATCAGACTTCGAGTTTGATCTCTGAAATCATTATGGTAGCCATTTGTCATGATGATGAATAATAATATAAAGAAAGCTTGTGGTTGTAATTTTTGGATTGAGCAAGAAGCACTTGATGTCTGCCTTAGTATAGGTTTGAGAACTAAGCGGATTCTAGTTATAACCTAGCAGTTCATAACAAAGGCCTATAGCTGTAGGGTGACTAGAGAGTGCTAAGCAAGAGTATCGAGATTACAACCAGGAGGAAGTGTTTATATTATTTGAAATTATAAGACATGGACCCTCTATATTCTCTAGTAAACAAAATAAGCCATAATGCTTTGCAGGCAGATAGCGACCTGCCCAGGGCCTTCAGAGTATTTTGGAGAATCAAAGCCTAGTGCACTCTCTGTGAAGCTTCGAATGGAGAAGGTTAAATTATTACTAACATGATGGATCACTGCGAATTAAGGTAACTCTTAGATAAACTTTGAGCTCTGAAATTAATTCGGTTTAGAAAAATCATGTTTTTAGTAAAAAGTTACGATCTGGCAGGATGGGCTATGAGTAACTACCTTCAAAGTTGACCAGGTTTAAGACACCCTGGAGCAGTATAAAATAGGACTGTAGGAAGGACTAAATGAAAGTTTGGTATCCTAGTCTAGCACTCAGTGAAGACCGTCAGAAGTTATGATCCCGAGGGCATCTTGACAAATGAGACTTTGTGTTTCATCACTGGCAAAAGGTGAGTGTTGAAAAACTGAAAGTCTAAAGCAGGATAAAAAGTCCTGTCCAAACACACCCGATCTGTCAAGTCCCTAAAGCTTCTATTTTCCTACTCGATATGATAACAACTCTTATGTAAATTTGAGCTCTGGGAATCAATCGGGGAGTGGGGTTCAATGATTTATATCCTAAAAGGTATAATAAACCGAAGTTAGTAGCCGTGGTAGTCTTCTAGAAGATGTTACAATGGGAGAGACTGACTCGAAAACCTAAGGCTATTACAGAATTAATGCAGTATACCAGATACATCTGTATTAAGAAAAATACAGCGCAGATTGGGCAACCTATTTCTTTGAATTTAGGCTCTGGAACAAATACGTTGTATTAAAAAATTCTTATAAAGGTTGATAGATAACGTGGCTAGTCTGCTGTAAGTTGGAATGTTAATTCTATGGAATAATACCAACACGTTATCATAACTGAAATGTTAATCAGATCCTATTTGAATTTTGGCCCTGGTAGCTATGGTTGAGAGCCAACGATCGCATGGTGTAATGTCATCTAGACCTGCAGTTGGTGGGTCGAAAAGTAAGGCAACTTACTTGATGGCAATATGGTATGATCTATGCTCTGGTGCCTAGTGAGAGTCCTCACTTTTGTTTTTTGACTAAAGTGGGTTGGGAATTGACCCAGTACAGCATCATAAATATCCCAAAAGGGAGGGTATAAATGGAAATTTTTAAGTTTTTAATAAAATATTTACTCAACTTGTTAATACTTAACAATGTTTACCTTAAGTTACCAAGAGCCTAATACAGCAGATCTTGATTTTTTTTACCAAAACTTTTCTAATAGTTTTGAAATCACTTTTTATGAAGAAGTAAATAATAACAAGATTCATCTCATTCTTTATAAAGTTCAACCTACTATTTGTTTAACAAAAAACCTTAAATCAAACAAGTTTATTTATTTATTTCAAGTTTTTACCTTTATCTCTATAATCACTTATTTCTGTAATAAATATCATATCAAATTTATCTCAACTTCAAATATCAATTACTAAATTTATAACTGTTTATGTTAACAATAATTTAAAAAAAAATCAATAAATCAACTCAACAACTTATATCTAATTTCTTTTCTTCTAACAATAGTATTCTTCTATCTCTTATACCTAATATACATTATCACATTTGTTTCAAGTTTTTATTTCCAATTAGCTGTATTAAGAGAAATGAATATTATTTTCTTACTAAAAAATATATTATCAAAAATAATAAAATTTTATTACCTAATCTATATGTCTGTTTTATCTTAACATAAAGTTAATTCATCTTAAATAAAGAAAAATCTTACTTAAATTTTTTAAAATATCTTACTGAAATCTATTCAAATCATCAATCCCAATATTGAATTTTCTTATCAAACTTTCTCTAATGTTTTTGATCTTATTAATTCTTTTTTCTTTATATCTACTAATACTAATTCTATTATTAACCAACCTTTAATTATTATTAATTCTAATATCTCTAACTTAAATCTTAATAACTCTAATAACTTTAATCAACTTAATAATACTTTAAACAAATCTCTTATTTAAACTTACTTTAATGTTCTTAAACCAAAATTCAATCTTATATATAATTGGTTTACAAATTTTCTAATTATTAAAGAAATATAATCTAATAAAAAAATTTCTTTATGATTTTTATTTTAAAAAAGAAATTAAGTTTATTATATCTATTTAATCTGTATTCGAGGTCTCATTTTATTACATTATTCATATAATGGTTGAGTAATAATTTGAATTCTTAATTAATCTTATTTATAACAACAATCTTAATATTGATAAAAGTATTGCTATTCTCTTTAATTTTCTTGAATCCATTTTTAAAATCTATTTCTTAAGTTTATAACTGTTCTTTTTATTAAACTTAATTATTTTAAAATTTTTGTCTTACTAGTTATCATTTCTTCATATATTGTTCATAATTGTCTTAATTTTATCTTAATCTTATATGACTCTATTTCTTTTTATCTAATAATTATTAATCAATTAATTATTAAAAATTTACTAAGAATCTATAACTTAAATCTAAAATATTCAAAATTGAATTTTTTATTCAAATTACTGATTTTAATAATTAGTAATTTTCAAAATATTATAATATTTAACAATTAGCATCTATTTTTTTTTATACTTATACTTTATATTTTTTTATTTAATAAATTCTTATTAATTTTATTAATTCTTATAATATCTAGCTTATTTTTATAAAATTATTATATATCAAGATAATCTATTTAACAATCTTACTAACCAATTTGTTTATAATCACCAAATATTATCTTATTTAATGTTCTTAACTAATAATTCTTATAATTTTAACTATATTTCTTTTATTGATAAATTTTTTATTAAAATTTTTATTTCATATTTTATTTGAACTATATACTAAACCTATATTATAATACTTTAAACATTTCAATATTATTTTCAACAATAGTTAATCATTGTATCTAATATCAACTAAAAAATTACATGATTTTATATTAATAATAATCAAAAAATCTCTAATTTTACTCATAACTTTCATTCATCTATTTTGAAAATTTTTTGAATTAAAATTCTTACAAATGAACTTTTTATTCTTTATACTTTTTATAAATATAATTTTTTCTTTTCTTCTTCCTGTTATCAATATAACTAAATTAGTTTTTTATTTCATTAAATTATTTGTTTCTTAACACAAACAATTTATTATTTAATTTTTAATTCTTTTAATAGTATTTTAAATACAACTATTCTTAATATGTCTGCCAATCTTATCTTTGATTTATATACTTAAATTCTTACACTTAATAGTTTTAAACTACAAACTTTTTACATATACTTTCTTTTATTTCTATCTTATTTGGTTTAGTTTCTACTAATTTTATTTCTATAATTTATAATATTTCTATTTTTTATTGTATTGTTATTATTCTTTTTATTAAACTTTTTTTTCATTTAAACCAATAAATATATAAACCTTATATTGTATTTCATATTCTTATAGTTTCAAATTATATTCTCTACAAACTTAATTCATAGTTTTTCTTTTAGTTTACCCTTACTCTTTATTTCAATATAATAAATTATTATTAAAATTAATCTTTGGACTATCCAATAAATTAAATATTATATTCCTCTCTCTTATATTATTACCCAAACCCAAATCTAGATAAATCTTGTTCACTTTTGTAGGTTTAAGTCACAGATTATATATTTGAGTCTTTATTCTTCATATGTAATTTAAAAGCAGACTTTTCTTTATAAAAACTTTAATTGAATTTCAATAAAATTAAAAGTATAGTCTTATTGTTAATATTTAAAAAAAAAACTTTTAATAATAAAAATTTTAAGATATTAATTTGACCAGAGTTTGGGATTTGGGCACAAACAAACTCAAACTATAGTAGTTTGGAATCTGGTCAGCAAGTATAACTATAATAAAGTAAAAAAAAACATATAAAAGTTATATTAGAACTATAAGACTTCATAATTAAAAATCAACTCTAATTCTTGTTTGTTAAAAAAGTTAGTATAGTAATAACTTCTCAAAGCCCGATAAAATAAACTTATTACTCATCTAATTTTTTTAAATGAACAAGAATTAGATCTTATTTTTGACTATAGAGTTCTACAGCCTAATGAAACATTTATATGGTTTTTTTTTTATTACTTTATTATGATATAAATAATGTAAAATTAAATTGAATTTATTAGCCAATCAGACGAACTTCTGCCTATGAGAATGACTAGAGAAACCCTCATACTGAAAGTAAGTACCAGATGGTGATTTCCTAGTCCATTCCTCATATGATCTGATTAGCACATTTTGTGCTAAATTGGCCAATCAAATCACATTCTGCACGAAGTGCCAAGTAACTATTAATTATTGATAACATATTGATCTTTTTTTTTAAGCGAAACAAAACTCAACAAACAATATTACTAATATATTTGTTTTATATAGCTTTGATCTAATTTTCCGACTTTTATATCTTAAAATTATTAACCAAAAGATTTTTTTTATATCCTTTCAAACTTAGCTCTAAAATTTTTTATGGTTTGATATTATTAACATTTTTAGTTCAATAGTTATTGGTTTCACTTCGTTCGAGTCAACTTTTTGGTTTTACCGTTTATTGATAATATCATATCATGTTACTTTTTTATTTTAGTCTATGCAATTTGTACATGACATCACATACATTTCACATATACCGATGAAAGGACTTTATCTAATTGGCTGGTGAAATCAATTCAAACATAAGAGTATTTTAAAAGAACTATTTGAATAATAAAAAAAGAGTACGTAGATAATATTTCTTAAGACTTTATAACACTAACGGATGTTATCCTATGCCATTGCTGCATTATAATATTCAACACAATAGCATTATGGTATCTAGATACGGTATTTCGACATTACGACACCACAAAATTACGACATTACAAACATTACGACATTGTGGCTCATGATAATTACGGCAAACAATACGGCACATACCGTATTAATTTACAAAATTAATTTACAAAATTAATTCTGGCACTAAATATAAATCACACTTGTCTTGTTTTCGCGGCTGACGAATTGTATTTCAAATTACATAATGCAAATTAAGTGTATTACATAACAATTAATTGAAATTGATTTAACTTTAATGTTATAAACTCTATTAACAGTGATTCTATCACTATTACATGATTACGCGACATGCTAAATTGTGGTCTCGGAACTAACAATTTTTTGGTCAATAAAATTACAAGATATGTATACGAAACAAGAAACATCGAGATAACGACCAGAGTTCATATGTATAGTAACTAAAATAATGACTTTATTAGCATTAAATAACGTCAACCGAAAAATCAGTAAGATAAAAATTATGAATTTTCTTTGTACTAACTTACAGACGAGTAGTCTACTAAACAATTTTATCATTATTCTTTTGTGGATTGGAACATGCCAACCTTTGGATGCCAATTGTTCTCGTGGCCCGAACACATCCAGATTTAGGTATACAGTACTGTGTAGTACGACTTAATATGTTGTGATAAAAGACGAAATATGATAACGCCAAAGGAGTAACTCTACGTAGCATAACGTAATCTCTGATTAAAAAATCTGAACATATATAACATATATGGCTAGCCTTCGATTGACATGTGGAACTTAAATATGCCCAATAGAATTCGATAATTTAATCATGGAATACTCGTGACAATTTGTAGGCAAATTCACTTGTAGACTGTGTAAAGGATGATGATTAATTTTTATAGAGGAATGATACTTCCCGGAATTCATTTTATCACGTACTAAGTTAAATGAATTTCAGATAACGATGGTATTTGATTAAAGCTTCATAATTGGGATCAAAAAAAAAAAAAATTTGCACAAATAATAAAAGAAGTATTATTGTAATAATAAATTACATTTTCATATTGCCAATTATAAAATTTTATCATAATTTGGGTACAAAATATTTTGGTTATGGTTCTTATGCAACATAACTGGGCTAAATTGCATATGTGCATTATAGTACACAAGATCACCGGACCTGCCCACCTGCTATAATTTGCTTATCGTTATTTCTAACAATCATTCTGTATTCTAAGAAAGAATCTTCTACGTAGCATAAATCTTTGATATAAATTATGATCTACCTTAACCCTAATTCTAACTATAACTATGTGCATTACTGTTTTAATATATGAGGTCTTTGCCTTGAAAAGGACCTTATGGGACATAGTAAATCATATGATCCAAACTTGATTTTCAAGGCAAAGACCCCATATTAAAGACTCGAAATAACAGGAATTTGCATTATTTCGAAAATTAGACCCTTTAAAAAGGGTACATTTGATTCTAAAATAACACCATTGGATCCTGAAATAGCGCGCACCTCATTGATATATTAACGGATTTAGATATAATAATAATATCAACGGATTTAGAAATAGTAAGCTCTTTTTATCGAAATAATGCATATAGACGTATTCAAAATAACGATCAGGTGATCAAAAATAACTCTCGGATGCCATTGTTTCTAAAGGGTTTCAATGACATCTGATAGCTGTTTTGCTATGATTATGATATTACTTTCAATTATATCAGGTCGCAGAAATCGTATCTATTTTTTTTTTGTCTTGTAATTTATTAGGAGGTGCATTATAAATCATATGATCTTAAACCTCGTTTTTAAGTCTAAATAGCTAACATCAATATCAATATTGAGAACGAGTATCGTTTAAGTTCCAAATTTAAGAAGTGCTAATCAGATTGTAATTTTCGTATTATTTTAACTGAATATTCAACGTTAACTAACGTTAATGTTAAATGTCCACTTTGGATTATGACATGCTCTGCGTGCAGGAAATCTTAAATGTCCACTTTGGATTATGACATGCTCTGCGTGCAGGAAATCTTAATATAAATAAATTTAATATCTTAAAATGTCTTCAAGGCATTGGAACCAGCGAGATTTGGGCAGTACGTAGAACTGAGTGTATATTTATCCATTAAAGGTTCGAATTTCCATTCGTCCCTTTTTGTCTCATTTATAACAAAATTTCTAACCCTGAGTTGTCTGAGTAAGTAGTATATCAATACATATTACATATCTATAACCGTGAGTTTTCTAATTCTATATACAAGTCGCGAGTCGTGTTCATAAAGAATAATTTCATAAATATTTATTTGCTTGTTTATCAAAAATAGAAAAATAGAAATAATGCCGTTATATCCATCAAATCTAACGTTTCATCTTAATCGAATATGCATGAATAGAATAAAAATTCAATTTACGTAGAAAAAATGACTTTGCCATGTACGACCTGGAAATAACATTTAACCATTAATGTCATTTCAAAATAATGCACAAGTTGGATTAAGAATTGCATTCTTTGCATCGTTTTTGTTACTCTTCTCCTAATTGGGCTAAATCTAAGAATGTAGATCGTAACGGTAATTGTAAAATTCTTTAAATGAATATAAATGTAATACGTATACACCAAAGTGTATCTCGTACTCTTAACTCATTAAGTAATACATTACTTTAGCCTGTAAAAAAAAAAAAAAAAAAAAAAGTGAGCTGATGAATAAGTTACTACTCTCTTTCAGACGCGAAAACAATTAGTACTTTTATGGAAATGGCTAAAAAAATTTTATTGTTTATTTGCGTATAAAACTTGACTCTTTCCGAAACTTTTTCTCCCCAAAAAATAAAAGTATAAAAATAAAATAGAACAAAAAAAAAAAATTTTAAATTAAAATTTAAAAAATAAAATAAAATAAAATGAAAAATCATTTGGTAAAAACTTCTACATATATATTTAGTAGTTCTATTAAACCTCCTCGATTACCTGCTGATTGTCTTGAAGATATTTTTAAATATTTGTCCGATGACACTGATTCTTTATATTCCTGCTTATTAGTTAATAAGTTATGGTGCCAAATTGTAATTCGAATTCTATGGAAAAATCCATGGAACCTTAATTCAAAACCTAAATATAATCGTATAACTTCTTGGGCTTGTATAACTAGAACATTGATATCTCTTATTCCTGATACTTCTAAGCAGATCTTGAAGCGAAATGGTGTTGAAATCCCTCCTTTAATCGTTTCATCTCAATTATCATCTCCTATATACAACTATTTGGGATTCTGTAAATCTCTTTCACTTAAAGAAATTCATAGAGTTAGACGAGAATTTCTTGACCTAATTCCAATGAGCAATATCGAAAAAGTTCATAAAGAAGATCTTGTAGAAAAAGAAATTTACAAATTATTTCTTGAACGTTGTTATTCTCTTAAATACCTTCAACTTTTGGATGTTCCACTTACTGATTGTCCCGGTGCCACCACGAGTTTATCACGTCTTTGTGAATTAGAATGTAACGCTAACATTTCTTCAAAGACATTTTTAGAACTCTCCAAAATTTGTCAGCACATTCAAATAATAAACATTAATCCATGTGATAAGGATAATAAAGGTTTAGCAACATTAATTAAATCTCAAAAGTCTTTAAAAGAATTAAAATTACAATGTTCATATCGAGATTTCAAAGTTCCTTTAATCAGCAACGCAATTTCCACTCTTTCCGACACTTTGATTTGTATTCGTTTAATAAAAAACATTTGTATTTCACCAACAACACTTCGTTACTTATCAAATATTAAAACTTTAGAATTGGATTTATCAGAAACTCAATCGTCTTATGATATTTTACAATCTATAAATCTACCAAATCTCGAAATCTTGGATGTCAAATTTGATGAAGTCACTCCTTTTTATATTTATACAAATTTAATTTCAACGACGAAAAACTCTTTAAAAAAAATAAATATCAATCATTGGTGTTCTGTGTTGAATGAAGAAATTAGTCCATATTTACATTCCATAATTAATCAATGTAGTAAATCATTACAATACGTCACAATTTGGTGTTCTCAACATGTTTTCTTGGATATTAAACAATTATTGATTTCTTGCAATAATTTAAAAACAATCATCTTTGAAACTTTGGATGAAAATGATTATGAGGATGAGTACGATAATGGAAGAATGATTTTAGATCTTTTAGGAAAATCAGCACCTTGTAATTTAATAGATTTAAGATTTAATGGTAAATGGAATTTCGATGTTACTGATTTACATAAATTTTTGGAAATTTGGAAACGTAGAAAAACTTCGTTATCATTACGAGTTGACATTTATCCTTTCACTCTTTCTCGGGAGTGTATAAATTTAATTGACAAGCATCGTGAAGATGGCATATTAAAAAGTTTTTCTTGGTGTTAATAATTTGTTATCTTAGACCATACAAAGTTAATTGTTTCTCATAACCCGGAAGGTAGCTTTTTTTAAAAAAATTATTTTTTATGTAATAATATCAATGTATTTTTGTTTTTTACAAATGTAAAAAAAATTTTTTTTTGGCAATTTTTAAAATTTAAAATTAAGGTTTAGATTGGCGGGTACCTCAGATTTAAATCAATGTTACTGTATGAGAAACAATTAATTTTGTATGACATTATCTATAACTAGACTATTTTAGGTATATAATTTTAGGTATTGAAGGGTTAAAATGAGTTTATTGTATATCATTCTATGCTTTAGTTTTTTTTTAAAAATTTTTTTTTTTTTGTTACCATAAACACTATGTAAAATATAATCTAATAATCTAACAGAGAACATTGTATATTTTCTGCAATATTGTTTGCATATAACATTTAAAATGAATAACACAATGATGCATATAAAAATACAGAAATAAAAAAGTTTACTCGTAATATATTTGCTCTACAAACCATTTAATGAAAAAGAATGATTAATTAATATGAAATTCAATTTTCTCGAAAACAACAAAAACATATATACAGTGAATCGCATAATAAGATTGAAATTTCATGTCATATACTAATTTATATCCTTATTAATAAATAAATTTCATCGAATATGTCTCAGTGCTTTATTTTGAAACAAAATTTCCAGAGAGTTAGGAATTAATTCCGATGAATACAAACAATAATTTTTATCTTTTAAAATCTTTGTTTAAATCAATTCTTAACTCTTTGAAAATGGTGTACCTCGAAATAACCCTTCAAGACGTTATTTCACTAATTCAAAATTTGGATTATTATATAAATTATAAAAATTCAGTATTTTTAGTGTAGTCGATGAAATTTATTTAATAATAAGTATATAACTTCTAAATTTATATGGCTGAAACTTCCAATGTTAATTACCAACTAGAATGTCCAGACTTATGCGATTTCGGGGAAATCCCTGAAACCATACAAGTCTTTTGCATTTCTCTTACGATACACTATATAATATTGAGTATATATATATATATATACATATATATATATATGTACTTACCATCATCCAAAACTTCAAATGGTTCTTCTTTTGAAATAGCATCCAAATCAATGAATTGACTATAATAAGCATCCTCATCTTCAAGCGTTTCAAACGTCATAGGATTTGTTCCAAAATCTTTACTATCTATCTCATTCTCAGCTATTTTAAAATCATCGTAATTTTTTATTAAAAAATACCAATCCATCAAAATTTCATGAATTTCATTAATATTTGGTCTCTTAGCTGGATCAGAATCCCAACATTTTTTCATCAAATCAACATAACATTTTGGTGTCCCAGATGGATCAATTTTGGGTCTTTCTCCACCACAAATATCTAAAGCTAAGCTTGTGGTTAATGGACTTCCATGAAATGGAGGCTTTCCAGAAGAAAGTATCCACATTATAATTCCAAAACTATATACATCAGATTCCTTTGTGTGCGATCGAAGTCTTTTTAATACTTCAGGTGCCACAAAAGGAAGTACACCATACACCCCTTTTGATGTTATTTCTTTTTTGGAATTTCGATTTGTAAAGTTAATGATAGAAGATAATCCAAAATCTGAAATATAGGCTATACCGTTTTCTCCAATCAATATATTTCCTGAATGTAAATTTTTATGAACATACCCTGATTGATGAATTAATTTTAATTCTTTTGCGATAGAAATAAGAATTTTTAATTTATCATCAATCCATTTCATGTTATTAAAATTTTGAGAAAGGTAATTTCGTAAGTTGCCTTTCTTAATGTATTCCATTACCAACATGTACTCTTGTGTGTTTGAATCTTGAGTTAAGCCATATAATTGAACGGAGCCTAATAATTGGTAACGTAATTCTGTGTACGAAGTGGAGAGTTTGATGTATTCTTTAAGCTGTATATGCATTAAAATTATATGAAATTATGACATATTGACAAAGATTACACACATATATATATATATATATATATATATATATAAATGTATATATAAATATAAATATAAATATATATAAATATAAATATATATAATATATACTTATATTTATTCATGATTCTTAAATATACCTCGCGAAGAAACTCGGGGGTTAAATCTGATGGTGTTCTTCCAAGACTTTTAATAATCACATTCTGAGCACCATTCCTCGCCATACCGAATAATGGCATTGGCCCATCAATCCAAAGGGCAGAATAAACACAATCAAATCTATTTTTTTTAATTTCATTGATATCCCTGAATCTATCATAATTAATCCATTCAATATGATCAAACATATGTTTAGATTCAAATTGTGAATTAAAAATAATCTTGTTGATTTCCGGATGTCCACTAGTCCAAGGAGGAAGTATGACACCAGGAACCATCCCAGTTCCACATGATTCACACCAACCATTGCTCGAAATGACATCCTTTGAATTAGGACAAAGACAAGTTGGTGGTGTTTTAATGTTAGAAGCTTTTACTTTGTCAATATAATTGATGATGTATTCGTAAATTCCTTGTTCTTTTGTACGTAATCGATAAACTTGAAGTACTTGAAGTAAAGTAACAGTATTTATCATCTTGTCTTGAATATCTAATATACAAATTATTGACGCAAAAAATATATAATATCCAACCAAATAGGATAATTGTAACATAAAGGGTGTCATAAATAATGAAAGAATATATGCAACTTCTTTCAAAATGACAGGAAATATATATAAATATAAACTTAAAAAACCAACACGAATTGGAAGAACCCAAATATCAAGTGGTGAAATCATACTTGGTATAGAGAAAATACTATAATAAATCAAAATACTAAAAGCAATAATAAAAGATAACCAATAACCATATAAAATATAACAAATTGAAGCGATCAATAGAAATAACCCTGATATCGGTGATAGAATAGAGTATCTATTGAATATAAAATAGAGTGACTTTAAATGGTCTTTGTTAGCTTCCAAATAAATTGCAATGGTTGAACTAAACATGAATAGATAAATGCCATAATCTATATCAATTATTCTCCATAATAATGTTTCGAATAATATGATAGTGATGGTCTTGTGAAGATATTTGTGGCCATATGAAAATGGATACTTTAGAAAATGAAAGACGATTTGATTCATATTTGAATATATGATGAAAAAAAAATTTATAGATTAATTAAAATGTATTAAGTCAACGAATATGATGGCGTTTTTAAAAGACAATTTTAAATATGGAAAGTGTTCTGTGAAATTGTTTGTATAGCGATAGGACTTTTTAAGTGTAAAAGATCAAATTTGATTAAATGCTTACGTATACTACAGTAATACGTAATGATATTTATATGCTGAGTTTATGTTTATATATCGTATATGCGATAATCAAAAGTATAGTTGATCCGCTCTCGTGTACAAACATTGTGTAAGATCTTTTCCATATAAGGAACAATTTATAAACCCATGCTTTGCTGTTTCGATTGTTAATAATGCATTGAAAAATGACTCACTTTGTTATCAAACGTAAATGACATTATTTTCAGAATTAATTTTGCATTATACATAACCAATCGAATTATTGAATAAATTGGATTTTCTATATACTAATCGATTTTTTAGGCTTAAAGATAATGATAGATATTAATTAGTGCCAATTATTTGATGTGTCATATTTTTTTTTAACGCTAATTAAGTCAAATATGCCAATTATTCTTGTTATATTTTTATGTAAAAATTATAATTTTATTAAAAAATAGCTGCAATTTTATTTACAGGCTTATGTCTTAAAGTTGTTATACGTATACAGTATTTTTTGGTTCAACTATTTAAACCGGGTATACTTTTTTGAAATTTTTTTTTCTTTTTTTAGCTATGTATTATTTAAGGCCATAATTTAGATAGAAGCTTTTCAAGTTACTACAGTAAAAAAAATAGCAAAAATATTAAGCACATCAAACCTTTTTTTTTTTTTATAAAATTTTATATTATTAAAAAGAAATTTTCTAATTGTACACGAGGTGTTATATACACGAGTATTAATCCATTTGACAAATCCATGTAAGATAAACTATAAACCAAAAATTTTAAAGGTTAGCTTTAGGCTAGAAGAGATTATATCTTATACTAACATTTTACAAGGAATATTTTTGTTAAAACCCCAAAAGTTATCAAATCGCAAAAATTTATGAGTATTGACCAAAATTTGGATAAAATTTTGGATATGAAAATATAAATAGTAACGTTATAGAAACCAAAATAAATGTATTTAATTTATATAATATAAAATGTAATTTTTTAGGAAAAATTACATACGTATAAGGGCCCGAAAAATGAAAACAATTACATATAAGGGCTCAAAATGAAAATAATTACATATAAGGTTCCAAAATTTGAAATTATCACACAATAAAGAGTCTAAATTTATCGATTGTAAGTTTTTAATATTAATTTTGACAGTTAAATATATTACTTTTTAAATCAGTATTTTATTTATTCTCTTAGCAATTTGCATGCAAAAATTATAACTATTTTTGCCAATTTCTAAAAGTAATTTAACTTGTT